TCACTTCGGGAGCCACCAGTTAAAGTGAGCCCTCAAAGTGTGCTGCCAGCAGCCTGGCCAGGGGCGGTGCAGGGACTTGAGAAAAATGCAGATTTCTTCACCAACCCCTATGGCTTTTGACTTCTACTGCAGCCTGACAGCTGTCTGAAAGCCGAGTCTGAAAACACACCTGGCTGCATGTCAAGGTAGAGGGGCTGCAGGGAGACCATGTCTATGAAAATCACTGGAAATCTATGTAACATCTATGTTGTACTTAAAACGTTTTCACTGTGGATTTAAACAAAGCATCCTCCAAGCCCCATGCATTTGGAGCATTTTATTTGATGAACAAATGAGGTGGTAGGTCAATGTCAGAGCTCAGCTCTGAGGCATTAGATTTAAATAATGTGGGGTTTTTGTGCCTGGGCTCCCAGCAGAGCCAGCAGAGGCCACAAAGCAAGTCAACTCCTCTGGAAGTTGAGCTTGGAGCATGGGCCTGGCAGATATGACATGGGACCTAAGGAAGACCTCTACTCCACCGGATTGACACCTGCACTTGGTCAGACAAACGAAGTCCCAAGTGTCTGGTCTGCTGTGCTGCTCCCTGGATTGACTTCTTCTCTACTGAAAATAATGGGAGCTTAAAGATTTAAGCACACACATGGAGACATAATGTAGGTGTCACTTGGGGCTGAATCCCTCCCTGAGCGCTAGAACTAAAAGGACAGCTCATCCTTTGTTACCCATCTGGTTTGTATTGCAGATTTTCATTTTGCCCATCCCCAAAGATGGGAGAGCAGCCATAGGATGAGGACAGATATCAGCTGGGATGGCCACTGGCCAGCAAACTGACAGTCATCATCACAGACAGATGGAAATAGTTCATGGAGATTACCAAACCAGCTTAGCAGCTCCTGAAGCTGCCCAGAGATTGTAGCCAAATCTGGGCCAAAGCTGTAGACTTGCTGATCCAGGATGTGACTTTTGGTGAGGCTGAAGGATGCCTCTGTTGTGAAGAACAGGCCCTATCAACTGTGCAAGTGGTTCGTATGGCAGGCAGGATTTTTGCTAGTGCAATATAGAGCCTGAGGGATTTACATTTCATTCTTATCTCTCTGTTCACCACAGAGCTCTGGTCCTGTGAGCAACTGAGGACCCACCAGTCACCAGCTCAAGGGTTCAAATATAGTCATTTTCAGATCCTTCCAGATGGGTGTTTGCCAACAGGGTTTTGAAGCTCTTGTACAAAAACTTTTCTCCGCTGAGTCCAAGTTGTGTACTGTTGGTATTGTGGCCATTTGCAGATGATGCTTAAGAAAAACATCCACGAAAGAGCAGAGGGCCTGAGAGGTAAAATATTGATGAGCTCAAAAGGGCAGTGGCAAGGACTTTGCTGAAACGCTACCCAAAATCTTCAGTATTCCCAGGAAGGCGGGACCAGTTAGAAAGAGTTAAGACACATTTTTTAAAATATAGATAAATTTTGAGAGGTCTTGAGAATACAGTGTGTTGGGAAAGCTGGAAAGCCCAAAGAAGCAAGAACTACCAAGAAACAAGGCAACAGCCTTCTGGCACACGAAAAGCATGCTCCAAAAAGGCAAGGGACAATCTGTTTTTCATGTCTGGGGCATACAGGACAAAAATTAATGGGATTAAGTTAAGAAGAGGGAGATTCGGTTTAGAAATGAAGAAAAACTTTCCAGTGGTTGGAAAAACTAGAATAATTTTTTCCAACAAAGTGGACTCTACACCGTTAAAAGCAGGCTTTAAACAGATTTTTAAAACAAGTCAAGAAAAAAGCAGCTCTCAAGAGCGCCACTGGCATAACTGGTACTCTTTCATTCCTTCCAGCACTATAATTCTGTAAGTCAGTGTAAATACCTGTTACGAATTGTACGTGCTCTTTTGAAAGCTTGCTTTTAAACGCGGTACGGAGACAAAAAAAATGGAAACCTGCATAAGGAATACGGAGAGGTTTATGGCCCTATAACTTTTGGGTTTTAGAATAATATGTAGTCTATGATAGGTAACTATTTACAGTGTCATGTTATTTACATGATTTTATATATTCTAATACTGACTTACTAGCAAGCTGCCCGGTTCTTTTTGAAGCTGTGAGCTAGTAATATTTATCAAAATATTGTGTATAAGAATGACGCCTAAGTCTAGAAAAAAACTTTCCGCGTGTCCCAAGTGGACAAAGTTCTGCTCTGAGATTCAGCAAAAAATTTGCAACTGCTTCTGCATATCCTGTTTCAGCACATAGTTTGTATGAGTTACGGTGGCCTTGGGAACGTGGAATCTCTCAGCAACTTGCTCACCTACTCCAATGTAGTTTTTCACCTTGATAAATCTCATTTCACTTATACATAGATACAGGCACACACGAATACGTAGAGATATTTAAAGACACCACCAGCAAGCGGAAACAAAGAATATTGTTTGAGTTGGGCGTAACAGATTGGATTAAAAAAAAAATAAATTAAACCGGCCACAAACAGCCCTTGAGTACCCGTGTGCCAAGTTTAATCCCCTCGTTAATTAAAAATGGCCGAATTATAACCCCTTTCAAAAATTAGGTTTACAGTGGAAATGCCAGCTGAACAGACCCTTCACTGTAACAGCCCTGCTGGCGCCTACGGAACACAATCGCAGAACGGCAAAACATATTGGCACCTCCTGTATATGCAATTGAAATATTCGCTTGGTGCCATCTCTTCCTGTTAATTGCTGTGTGGAAAGTGGTCCCCGTACAACCTCTTTATCTATCTGCTTCAGAAGCACTGCCTACCGCCGCGCGCACTCGAGGGGCACGCTTGGCCAGGCTGTCGGGCTCGAGTGCCAAGCTCGGCGAAGTCGCCGAGTCCGTCCTCCCCTCCCCGAAAGCGGCAGCTGGATCACCGCTTGGCTCCCGGGCTGGCGCCTTGGCTTGCTCTGCTCTTGGCTGGTGTGGGGCTGTGCAACAGCTTGCACGCCTTGCTGGGCGGGATGCTCGCTGCCGCTGTCACTGCCGGCCTGGCTCAGCAGCCTCTCCTTGCCTTTCAGGAGATGAGTGCTCCCGAGGTCCCCACTTTAACTACTCGCTTTTCTCCCTCGAATACCAGCAGCATAACACTAAAAACCTCACCCGCTTTGAAAAACAGTTTGTTTTTCCATGCATCGCAGTCTCTCCTGTCCATTTGCTCTGTTTTCCACTTAAATCAAGAGCTTTATGCAGCAGGGTTGCTCTTAATTATGAGTTTCTTCAATACCTTGTAGGATGCAACAGGACCCTGATATCAGCTATTAAAATCTGTCAGGCTAAGGGTAAATGCAGGCTGTAAAATGGCTTCTGCCTTTGCAGACGGATTCCCTGTACGAATTCAGGACCAGGGGCCAGATCTCCACTGGAGCCATGCCAGTCCACACCAGCTGTCAGCACAGCCACAGAAGATCAAGTATTTCTGTTTCACCCCATCTCACCATCAAAACTGTCAACTCAGGCCCCACCACAGAATATTTATTAGTGGTGACAACAGGAAAGAATAGAAATATCAACTCTTAGGTTGACTTTCACAAAGTCAGTAGTTAAAAACTTTACAATTTGTCCTCATAAAGTGATTAAACATGTTGGGAAAGATATGGGAAAAAAAATCCTTGGGGCTTAGGGGCAGGTTTGTTTTTTGTGTAATGAAGGATTGGCAAAGGACTTACACTGCACGAAACTTGACCTCTCTCTCATATTCATGTGCAAAACTGAGAAACAGAGCAATTGGTGAAAGCAGTGAAGCACTGGCTTACTTGTCGGTCTGACCATGCAAAAGTAAAAACAGTGAAGTACTAAGGGTTGCTCTGTACTGAGAGACAGTGTACGTCTTTGCATTTACACACCAGCTGTCACCAAGGCTTAATCAAAGTGTTTCCAATTTCTTTTTACTGTATTTTGTATTGTGTGTTTATGTGTTGGAAATTGAGGCACAGCGCCTGCAAGTCAGAGTGAAAAAAAGGAGAAATTAAATGAGGTGCCAGTGGAATTCAGGTGTTTAAGTGCACAGAAAACAATATTTAAAACTCCCTGCTCTGCTGCTGTCTGAAGTTAGAGATATCTAAGCACCCAAAGAATAATTAATTAATCAAAAATTCCTTTTTTCGTCTCCTCTACAATGCACCAAACCATTGACAATCCTCATAGCGGGCCCGCAGTCCAAGCCCCCACCAAGCATGGCCCCCTTCATCCCACAGCCAACCCTTGCCATGCTCCAGCACCTCCTCTTCCCTCCAAACTGGGGCCAATCCTGGGGCAAAAGCTGAAGGAGTCCCTGTGTCCCTGACTGTGGACCGTGCCTGGTTGGAGGGGCTTCCCAGACACCCCGCATTTGGGACAAAAAGAGAGTTAAGGTTGATGTGCACAGTCTGCCCTTGGCCCAGCAACCACCCGACTCACTTATGGCATCATCCTGTTCCCACCTGGAGGGTGGTTGAGTCTGACTCTTGTTTGGAGTCCCTAAACCCCAAGCAGCAAATGAAGAGTAGGGGTCCTTGGGTTTCCTGCTGGGGAGACACGTTTCCAGGTGTCCACAGGGACTCCAGCCCCCAGTGCTCTGCCTACAGCTGTAAAGGCATCAGGGGCTCGTGTCAACTGACTTCCTATCCAGGCTGCTAATAAGAACTCCCTTGACTAGGAAGATACCACCACAGAGAACAAAACCGTCTCCTGCTGAACTGATTATATTTACTGTAAAACACGGAAGCAAATGAAATCTCTGATTGAGAGAGAAGGAGAAAGCTTTTAATCCCACTCTATGATGCTTTGCCAGATTGACAAATCTAGAAATACAAATGGAAGAGTAATTATACAAGACTCACTTACGTTGCTGTTCAGATTTATATTTTCAAATGTAAGAAAAAGAGACAGAAAACGCCTGGCTTGTTACATTGGTTTCCAGAGCTGTTAGTGCAAATTGATTAGAAATCTAAATTCAAGATGTTCCAAAATAATTTAAAAAAAAATCTCCTCTTACCTGTGGCACAATCACAGTGTTATGAATTGATACAAGACAAAAGAAAAAAAAAAAAAATAAAAAATCAAAGGATGGAAATAGCAATTTGGAACAAAATCGTATTTTCATTGTTACAAGTTGTATAGTTCTTCATGGAGGAAGGGGGAACTGTGTATGCTACCTGATCCAAGTAATTTTAAAGTTATGGGAGAAATCTCTAAAAATATCCATTAAATCTTTTAATTCAGCCAGTAAACAAAAGTCACGGAGAGAACCAAACACTGAAGTGTCTGGCAGCTTATAGCCACTAAATATTAGGAAAAGATACGTCAGGGCTTTGGGTCCGGCTTGAGCTCAGCACGAACTGAGGGCTCTTGAGGACACTGTACTTTTTAATTGGACTTGTACTTCCAATTTGAGACCTGAGTATCCATCACACAAGGCATTTCTCAAAAATACTGCATAGACAGGATTCGTCTTGCCTAATTCAAAACATCCACGCTGGAGACATCTGTGTCTTACTGAGCCTCCCATCCTTTGTAACCGTGAAGAGAAACAGGCACTTTTACAGCACGCTCAGCTGACCTATTTTAGATATCAGCTTTAGGGCAAGATGAATCATGCCTTGAATGTGCCAATTTCCCTGTGGTGCCAAAGAAAGACTAGACAACCAGTTTATTTTCTCAGATGAATCCCACGTGGCTGGGGCTGATAGACTTGTGCTATGATCTGTCTGAATGTGTACTGTCTCTGCTCCCAAGTCTTACATCATCCTACAGAGTCCTGTGAGTTGGATATATTAGCTCGAGTTGTTATGCACTAATTCTGTGAAATACCATCAGTACCTGAGATGTCTTTCATCCAGCCAGCAAAAAAATGACATGGAGGAAAACAGCTCTGCACATACCTACCCATTTGCATATCTTCAATGCAGTAAAGAAACCATCACTCCTTCAGTATTGCTGTATTAACGGGAAGGGTTATTGGAAGGAAAAGAAACAGCAAATGCAAAAGCAACTTGGCCAAAGTCATACTGAAAGAGTGACAAATGTGGGACTAGAAGCCACTTTTTCCATCCCCCTTCCTGCCCAGTTCAATATTCATCAGCTGGAAGCTTGACCACTTCTTCTAAACACTTTCATTATCTTTGGAAATTTTTCACCCTCCTTGGGAAATCTAGCCCCTTTGTATTTTAAGGGCAGGCCAGCTATGAGCTGCCTTCAGGAACCTCCAGATCTCTCGCTCCTCTGGAACAATTGCAGCAGCAGTCTGTGGTCTGCAGCAAGAGAGTGTGGCTGTGCCTTGGTGGGTCCTTAGAGGTGAGTTTGAAAAACAGCAACTGTCCCCAGATATCGTCACTGCTGCCATAACAGCAGCGTGCTAATTGCCATGGTCTGCTAAAGAATCTGGATGGTTTCCTTTGAGAAACAAATCACCCTACACTTTTAAGTTGTCCCCAGAGCTCTTATTTTATAAAGTCTGAATCAAACAATGCCAGATTCAGCCTAATTCCAGCAACGTTGATATGGATCTATAGTGGGAATAATTTGCATTTTCAGTTTTTGTTTCTTGTTGGATGTATGTTAATGCCCCAGATAGCAGTGTCAATAAAATAATTTACATTTTCTCCTTTGGTGAGGATTTTTTCCAAAAGGCAGCTTTATAGGTAAAGATTCAGATTGCACGGGGACACTGAATATTGAACAGGAGCTTTCCTTCCAAATTTTGTTTCCAGCAGGGCTTAAGAAAGATAACAAGAGTTTTATATGTCTGATTAAAAAGCCAACACTCCAAACCGTCCGTATGTAAGTTTTTGGCATGATTTCTGATATGGTCATAATCAGCTGCTTGCTCATTCCAGCTGCCAAAGCACAGTAGACAAGAGTTAAATTCCAAATATTATTCTCATCGCTATGGTATCCTGTGCACAAATCCCCAACGGTAATTAAAGGAGTTTGAGACTCTGACTCCAAAGGCTAGGTCCATAAATAATTTAAGCTCTCACAATTGGGTGACACTGTATTTTGGTTTGAGACGTTTGTACTATAGTGAGTGATTCCAGAAGCTGCTTTGCCTCCAACAGACAGAGAGAGATCAGGGCACTCCAGAGAGGGAATGGAAAATAGACCCCCTGAAAAAATACACACAGAGCAGAAAGTCATGTTAGGACAAGCTTGTAGAAGATGCTGCACACAGGGACACATCTGCAATCTCACCTCTCTTAGAGGCTCCTCACCCAGGCTTGCATGGAAGCAGCTCCATCTCCTCAGGGTTTCAGACAGAATCCTCCTTCTTTCCTGCATGTCAATGTTAAAACCTATGTTAAACACAAACACAACCTGCATACAGACAATAGAAGGCAGCTTTTTGGTCATTCCCTCCATCTCCCAAATTCCCAGCGAGAACTTTAACGGTGAGGTGACAAAGCAAAGACCCTTTGCTATGTTGACTGTTTGGCTCAGTAAGTCCACAAACCTACAAAATCATTTTCTAGAAAGCAGCTCAAACAAGACCAAGCCCCTCTTCCAGAAGATGGCAGAGGAAGATCTGAACCCATTAAGGATGAGGGATGTGAACCACACCGGTATACACTTCCATGTTTACAGAAAGGGAGATCCCACTACTTTTTCTGAGCAGCCTAATCTTGTCACTGCCTATTAGGTTTTCTCTGAGAACTGTTACCAGACTGGATAACCCAAAGGATTTACCTTTGTCTTTAATCCTCCATCCCACTGATAAACAAAAATAACTTCAGATTGTAGCTTTTCATGCTTTTACTTAACTTAAGAAAGCATGATTGGTGAGGCTGAACAGCAGCAAAGCTGTAGGTATAGAGGACAAGTAATGCAAGGAGACACATAATCAAAGAACCTCCAGCATTGGGTGGTGCTAGACACCACCCTTTTTGTCTTGCACGCAAACATGGCCAATATCTGGTTCTGTTAGTTTTCCTTTGGGGGCAGAGAGAGGAGATCAATTCACAGAAATTTTTAAGAAGTGGTTAAAGGAAGAAACAGCAGAAGGTTGTCTTGGCATAGGAATGGGAAGTACTGGGGCCTACCTTGGTTTTCAGATCCTGCAATAGCTCATACGGTAGGGTAGGACCAGTCCCTTGGAAAGTCATCACCTTCTGCATAAGGAGTAAAGGATTGGCTTTGCCTGGGGAGCAACAGTATTTACCCTAGACCTTCATCCTGGAAATAAAAAAAAAAAAAAAAAAAAAAAAAAAAAAAAAAAAGCAATAAATGGTTTTAACATCTAATTTTATGTACTTTTAAAGATAGCACAAGACACACAGGATCAGTATTATTCAGCTGCATGTTTACTGCCTTTTAGATCCTGCAGCTCCATGTTTTTCCTTTCTGTCTGCTCCAAGGCTGAGTTTTTGGTGACCCATCTCAGGTGTCTTGATAGTCCTAAACAGTCAATTAATTGCCTTCTGAGGAAGATTTGATCAAGCTTGCTTCTCAGTCATGAACATCTTCCTTGCCATTACAACCCAAAATTATAACATTTGCCATAATGTAAAAGCTATGAGGAAAAAAAGAATAAAACCATTGGGAAGAAGAGACACATACTTTTGCTCAAGTTCTCTTCCATCCCTGCCACCTTCCATCAGTCTGACAAAAAAGCTGTTTGTAAGAACCTCTTGAAATGAAGAATCTAATATTAAATGACAAAAAGATTAACCTTTGACTGTACTTCACTCCATGCTACACTAATACAATCAGCATGGGAAGTGTTATACAGTAAGAGGTTAGGGAGAGGATGGAAGGCCAGGTGGTGCTGGAGACCTAAATTTTAAAGGTTTATTTTCCATGCAGCATGAATTTTATTTGCTTTAACTTTAGGAAGTAGCAATGCTGGAGATGAAACACACACAGCATGAGATGTTCAGCCACGTACTTGAGGGCAGGTGTGCTGCTGAGTCACTACTTACAGTGCTTCCATCACGCTGAGCTTGGGCCGACCTGTGAAAAGGATACAGGAAAACTGGGATTACTTTGGAGAAGTTAATTCAAAACTAAAGCAGCCTGCACATACCGTGCCCAAGGTGCCACTGAAGGCACAAGGAACTGCAGGAGACCTGGCCCAAGTTTGGGCACTGAAATGTAGGAATGCAATCCACAAAACATTTATCACCTGAGGCTCCTGAAGGGCCATAAACACATAATTTTTGCCACTGTAATTACCCAGCTATCTGGAGTTTTGCTAGTGCACTCAGAAATGCTGTCATCTCAGCAGGACTGTGTGAGTTAGCATCTATGTCATGTACACGCCTATTGGGATCTGCAAATTAGGTCTTTTTGTGCTTAAGTTCCCTGAGCAGTCTCAGCTTTTTCTTAGGAATGAAGCACAGGGGAGGATGTTTTGCACAGATTTTTTTTTCTCATGACCTAGAAGCTCAGACACCTCTTTCGGAGCAGGAGCTAGGACACACCACCTGCCCTCCCAAACCTGCCTCAGCACAGGAGGAAATCCAGAGAGAGAGAGAGAGAGAGAGAGAGAGCGCGCAACATTGTGCAGCCCACTAATAAAAGCTCTGACCCTGCACAAAGGTCTCGGGCTTTCCAGTTTCTTTACCAGAAACACGTCTGCATTTTGCATTATTTTCTGTAAGAAGTCATTCACCGATTCTGCACTTTTGCTGCCTCAGCAGTAGAAGAGACGTCTGATTTCCTACAACAATAAGCTGCTCTCATAGGATAAATACATTATATTTTTGTGATGTGCGCTGTCATATGCTCTCTCAGTGCTAGGATAAACCAGAGTTCATGGCTTTGGAAAACAGAGCTGATGAAAAGCATCATTAAATCTCCAAGTAACTTTTCCCCCCCCCCTTGAGATGTCCTTCCTGAAGCCACAGAGAAGGACATTGGATATATACACGTGTCACCATTACTTACGTCAGTAATCTAGCAGACAAGACCATGGGATTGACATGATGGCCATAGGGCCTGAATTTAGGTCACATACAAAATAAATTAAAAGCTTCTCTTTATCTCAGTGCAACATCTCTCCCTCACCCACACCCTTGTCTGGCACAAAGACAAGGAAAACTAACCTGCTGCTTACCAAGTGACTTCTAAGCACAACAGTTCTTAAATCAAGGCAACAGACCACGTTACACTGGCATAGCCACAGCAGCAAAAGTCGGAAATGTGTTTGTCCCCATGTAGTTATTGTTAAAGATGTCAATGACAGAGAACTGTGTGAGCTTATTTAAAAAAAAAAAAAAAAAAAAAAAAAAAAAAAAAAAACACCACACATGTAAAATTTTAACTAAATCTAAGTCACTGGCTTGTATCAGATCAGACTTCTGCCTGGCTCATGCTCTCCACTTCACCTCCTCTTTTACTGAGTAAACTGTGCAGCACAAAGATGGTTTTAGGCTGAATGATAGACTGTAAGAAAGACTACCACACAGAAGTGCCAGCTGAGCCCTCCCCTAGGAAAACAGCTCCCTTATTCCCTTTTTTTAAGAGATTTATTATTTTAAACAAACACCCTACACTGCCCAGATTTGCATGCACTCATTACTGAAGTCCAAACAGAAACCGGCAACCAATACAAAGGCACACATCCCCACCTGGAACCAAAGCACGTTTGATTCTTCTTGGGGTTTAAGGACAGCAGACAAAAAGGTTTTCTGGGTGGTTTGGGGAGTATTTTTGCAGGACAGGGTGGACGAAACCTGGGCCTGGCAGCTAAAGGAGCCCAAATCCTACTGCACTCAATTGTCAAGTGCTGAAGAGACAGACAGCAAACCTAGCCAGATGAGGTTGGGGTTTGGGTGTTGATGGAAGACATTTGGAGCTTCAATCAGGAAAGTTTCTTGTGTTTGATTCTGCCTGGGCACCTAGGAATGGACTCTCTATACTTAGTATGTAAATATATACAGTACCATCAAAGCCAACAATCTCCCGGGATTTCTCTCCTGAGTCAGCTTTGCAAACTCTACATTTTTGGCCAATCGTTCTGATGAGAACCGACAGAAACACACTTTGCTGCAAGCCTCAGAAACAAAGTGTGATCCTTGTGTAAAACCTTCCACTTTTCACAGGGCTGGTAGGGTCCCAGCATCCCCTCTCTGGGGGCTGGCCAGCTTAAATGAATGAGGCATGGCAGAAATTAAATGGAGGTTAAAATTACGGTACAGTGGTATGCATATACTTGAGTGTGTAAGGAGGATGAGATGAAAAGGGGGTGGGGGGGACACATGACACAGGGACATTCCTGTTTAGGTTTATCTCTTGTATTTTTTGGTTACTTTCTCTTTTGTTCTTGAAGAGCTTTATTAAAGGTTGCCAACAGAGGCAGTAGCATGTAGGGGTGTATCACAGAATCATCTAGGTTGGAAAGGACCTTGGAGATCATCTAGTCCAACTGTTTGCCTAGCACACCTACAGCATACACTTAAAATCTCAATCGACCCGACTCTTGAACACCTCCAGGGATGGGGACTCCACCACCTCCCTGGGCAGCCCATTCCAATTCCCAACAACCCCTTCTGGAAAGAAATGCTTCCTGATATCCAGTCTAAACCTTCCCTGGCTCAACCTGAGGCCGTTCCCTCTTGTCCTATCTCTTGTTACTTGGTTAAAGAGACTCATCCCCAGCTCTCTGCACCCTCCTGTCAGGGAGCTGTAGAGGGCGATGAGGTCTCCCCTCAGCCTCCTCTTCTCCAGACTAAACCCCCCCAGTTCCCTCAGCCGCTCCCCGTACGACCTGTGCTCCAGACCCTGCCCCAGCTCCGTTGCCCTTCTCTGGACACGCTCGAGTCATTCAATGTCCTTTTTGTGGTGAGGGGCCCAAAACTGAACACAGGAATCGAGGGGCGGCCTCACCAGTGACGAGTACAGGGGTCAGATCCCTTCCCTGTCCCTGCTGGCCACGCTAGTGCTGACACAAGCCAGGATGCCATTGGCCTTCTTGGCCCCCTGGGCACACTGCTGGCTCCTGTCCAGCCGGCTGTCAATCAACCCCCCCAGGTCCCTCTCTGACTGGCAGCTCTCCAGCCACTCCTCCCCAAGCCTGTAGTGCTGCTGGGGGTTGTTGTGGCCCAGAATGGCCACAGAGGTATACATATATATATGTACAGAGGTATAAGGTAGTAGACCATGTAGACTATGGGGAGACAGAAGGATGGGACGTGCTACCTAAAGACATCTGCCTGCAAAAGGGAGAGGCTGCACATTAGAAGCAAGTAGGGGGGAGGGGTGAAGAGAGTGTGTTTGTGTGTGCATGTACGGAGGTAGAAGCAGGTACTGAACATCCACAGATTGCAGGAAGGGCAGTGGGCCAAGGTCAAGTGGGAAGGAGAAGAGGCTACTGGGGAGGTGAGCCATGGAGACCTCCCGTCCCCAGCTTCACTTCTTCAGAAATGTAAGCCAGGTCAAGGTGGCCAGGACATACATGCAGATGACACTCAGATGGTGGATTTCTCCTCTCCCCAGCATTTTAGAGTCTATTAGACCATGGACTAAGACAGCCAATTTAAGCATGCCTTCCGTTTCACTTTAGTCTGTTCCATAATTGCCGCAAGATAGAATTTGGCTTTAAACACATCATTTTTCATCTCAGGGACAAAGCCTGTTTTCACCCAGTGTGCCAAGACATTCTATGAGATTAAATTATGTCTCTTCAAAGATTGTCAAGATCCTGCCTTCAAGGGTCTCTTTCTAATTGTTTTCAGAGGCTGCCAGCCTTGTAGGGCATAGCGCTTACTTCAGAAGATGTGGGGTGGAAAAGTCTTTTAAAAATTATTTTAAAAATCAGAGGAGGAGAGGAGGTTATTTAATTCCATACAGAAATTCAGGACTTCTTCCTGCCAAGCAGCAGTGGGAGCACAGGCCTTGGAGTTCATGGTTCAAGAGTGCAATCATTTGACATGCAGTCATTGCCATGAGGGAAAAGGAGGGGAGGCCAACCTAGGCAGAAACACTGCAACTCTGATCTTCCAAGAGAAAATCCCAATTTGCAGAGCTGTCCTTCAAGGACCTGGCTTCACAGACATTTGTGGCATACACCTTCACCTGGGCAATCAGAAAATAATGATAACAAAGGTATCAAGGTTGAAAAGTTTGGACTTAAGCTCATAAGGTTGGGGAAAGAAAAAAGGGGCTATTCCCCCCCCCCCCATGACAAGCCAAAAACCCCTCATCACCAATGGTGCTTGGATTTCAGAAGAAGGTTTAAAACTTTCATTTTTCAGCTGCAGTATTTAATTAGGACACTTAAAAATGCAGAGGAGTGAAACGACAACAACAAAACACAAACACGCCCTGCCCTGGGATTAGTCTGATGCCTGGCATTGAAAAAGCCACCGAATGACAGACCGTACTGCAGTAATTCATGTTCGTGACATTACAGTGATTGGCTTTTAATGCACTCACCAATAAATTACCACTAGTCAAACAAAGCGCTCTGAGGAGAAAGACAGACAGAAAAGAACATTCAAGGTTCTTGATTATTTATCAGTTGGCTGAAACATTCAGAGACCGAAAAGAGCATTCTGTAACCTACCCAGTGAATCACCTCACAGCAAATGATTTTTATGTTCACATAGAGTGAAGTTTCCACTGAGGGTTGGAGGAAAAGGATGCTCAAACAGCTCAGCTTAGCCAAGATAGCATTAAGATAACATTAACAGGCCAAAAGTTGTTGAAGCCAATAATAAACTGTTGATTTCAGCCAAGCCCTGTGTGACACATAAAGGTTTCAGCAAGGCAGGCAGAGAACTTGGATCCCCAGAAGCCACACCAAGGATACTTCGTTAGAGGGAAGCTATCAGGCTAAATGCATTTCCAATTTCAGTGTTACCATCTTTAATTAAAATTAAGGATATTTAAACCACCTAATTTATTCTTCCCTCCTTGTCCTGTACATTTCTGCAGGATGCTTTATGCAGCCACCTAAGCAGCTTAAAGACTTTGCTTTTCATGAGCTCACATTTTGGCTCTCCCACACTGTGCAAATGTTGCACCATGAAATACCATGCCGGAGAACTGCTGAACAGAACTTTGTCTCAGATGACATTTTAAACCATTGAGGAAACACTGATTCCAACTACATTTTTTTCCCATAGTCTTTTAAATAAAAAAAAGCAAATAAATGTTTCCTCCACAAATCGCTTGTGTTCATCCATTAGTTGACAGTAACTCCGAAGTGTAACGATAAACTTGTAAGTGTGGTGCGATGGGAAGCACCAGGTTTGTAGCAAGAGATAGCAATAGGAGACAAAGTACTCAACGATTCTAAGAAACCAACCTGAAAGGCTTATAAACTGTTAACAACACTTATTTTTTCCTCTATCATACTTGAATTTGCTTTGCATTACAAATTCAGTGCTGAAAAGCACTGTAGACTTGGCGCTGGCTTTTCACAAAGTCATTCTTAAAAACATTTCATACAAGGTGAAGAAGAAACTTAATAAAAATCATAAGGCCCTGCATGTGATAGCATCATTCTCATTGATGCAGTCTCCCAGACTGGATTTGGTTCGTTCTTGACGACAACGTATGCAATAATTCCTGCATGAGCCATGGGAGATAAGGACCCCTGCAGCTCTGAATCACTGTTGTGCTGGACTGCATGTGAGTGATAATTTAGGACTAGCATTTTGGGATAGAATATTACTGCATATTTTACTCTCTTTCAACCTTCTCTTCATCTAAACTGTCTTTTGTATGATAATTTGAAATATTTTTCCCTAGAACGTCTATCTTTAATAAAAGTTAGACAAAGCCTGAATCACCCTGTAAGTTTGGGAAACGTTTTTGCTACAGATGCATTTTTAAATAAACATCTTATTTGAAGACGCCAGCGCATAGTGTTAAAGTAGGAGACGCTGCTGTAATTCTTCACATTTCTACCCAAATATCTCACTACATCTGTGATGTTGCTGCGTCACCTAATGTTAGCATGTACAATCTAAAAGCAAGAAATGGAGAGAGAAAGAATGTGCTGAAATAACTTGCCTATAGCAATATGCAGACAGTGTTGATGCCAGGGCTGGGAATTAGAACTCACTTGATTTCTGGTATCCAGCCCCCTGCATAATTCACTAGGTCACAGTGGCAAGATTTAAATATGGGACTAATTGAATGTTCATATAGGAACTACTGCTCTTTCAGTCCAGCTTGATGCAAAGTTGGAGAGGGAGAAGGCTACAGAGAAGAATCAGAGGTCTCTGGAGGAAAATCCAGGGGAAAAAAATAGCTGGAAGAGCTCTGTCCCCTTCCTGTTATCTCAGAGACAGGTTAATTCTGGATGACAATTTAAACGTCAAACACAGTCAATCTATTTCACCAGGGAAAATAAACCACCTCCTCAAATCCCTGGTGACACAAGTGAGAACAGAAAGCACCTGGGCCTCCAGTGAGTTACTATAAAGAAGCATACTGAGCTCCCCAAGAGCCCCTAAACTGCCTTCAACAGCAGGGTCAGCTCCAGAGGGGTGCAACCAGGCACCCAGGGGCCATGCTGGAGTCATTCTTGATTTACTGGGAATAATTATAAGCAAGAATGTATGAGATGGTAACAAATATAAACATTAGGGTGAAAGTCTCCTAAGGAAAATCTTCTCAAAGGGTTGAAAAAAAACCCCACCAAGTGGGCCAGGAGAATTACAGCTTCTCCCTTTCCTGGGCTGTCCATCACATCCAGCACAAGATGCCTCCTTCTATTTACTGGGCAGATGGTTTAAGTCATACCTGCTTTTGCTTTCATCCAGCTCCTGGAGGGAGTGATGGTGCTGTTACGCTTGCTGGGAAGATGCTTTCTCCGAGCAGAGTGCCTTACGAGCAGCTTGTGCTACATAACACAGCTTCACTGAGCCACTGAGGTTTTGCGGCACGTGGAAGCAGACATACTACAAATATTCCTATTCCTCCCTGCCAGAAAGCCAGAACCAGCCTTAGACTCCTGGGGATCTCCATCACTCTGCCAGCACAGGAGGACTGGCATTGCTACCCTAACCATGGGGCTCATCCCTGGGGATGGATCCTGAAGCAACTGCCCAACTATCATCCCTTACCTTGGCAGTATTAAAGCATGTTCTTCCCAGGACTTTTTCCTGCAAGACAGCAAATGCCAGGAGCTTGGGGTAGTACGAAGCTTTAAATGTTTTGTAATCTCCAAAGCAAGCAATTTTTCCTCAACCACATGGTATTCTTCAACCTCCAATTAATTATACAGGACATCTGGCATCACAGGGACACTCGGAAAATGTTCTTCCAGGTTCACTTCCCACCGTAAGACCTGACGCAACAGCTGCTTTTCCTCCTATGCCATAAATGCCAAACATTCTCCATCTGCTCCCCTCTTCAGGACATCTGGGATCTGGGCTGGCTACCAGGTAGGAGTACAATGGGGAAGAGGTGAAGCATGTACAGAGGGCAAGCCCATGCATCACAGCCTGCTCTCCAAAGGTGGTTGCTGCTGATTTCTAATGGTTTTGCTTCCCAGTAGCTAAATTATCACCCAGTCTTTGTAAAAGAGCATCTAGACAAGTTCTCTCCTAAAAAATCCCTTTTTTGGACTGCCCCATGGAAATATTTACTTTTCAGAGTTCATTCAGGAGTGGAAACAAACCACAGTTGTTCCCATCAACAAAGGTGAAGGCTGCTCAGCTGCAGGTCTATGAGCCCTATTCCAAGTCTGCAATCCCCGTTTGGAAGTCTTTATTGAGTCTGATAATATTTAAGGTTAGGGTTAAAAATTAAAATCCTCTGAGTGTCATTCCCTTCAAAAAAAACCCCAAAAAAACAACCTCCAGTAAGCCTGACCAAAAGAAAGAAGGAAAGTCTATTTTAACCAAAAAACCCCACCCCAAAAAATCCAACCAAACAACACCACCACCACACACACACACACACACACACACACACACACACAGAGATATATATATATATATATAT